TTCACAAATTTGTAGTTCTCTGAAACGTCAGCTGGAATTCTCTTATATTAAATATTCTTATAGTGAGACATTGTTTCAAGGTTTAAGGATATTTAATCACTTCAAAAAACGTTCAATACAAAAACAATATTTATTGATATTTAATATGATATATATATATATATATATATATATATAAGTGTTAATTAATCACGATTAAACCTTTGGTTTACTGTGTCTGTAGGAGTTGTACATTGCAGTCGGTATCTCTGGAGCTATCCAACACCTGGCTGGAATGAAAGATAGTAAGGTGAGTGAAGTCACTGGAGAAACATGGGTGGATTGTCTTTTTTTTTTTTTTTTTTTTGCTCATTAGCTATGTTTACATGCACAAAATTCTTTGATCGGATTGAAATGTTTTTAGATTAAATAACTCAAATGTATTGTTTACATGGGCAAATCTGATCAAGGCGAGCGTTTACATGCAGCAGGCTTTTATTCTGAATAGAAGTATTGACATGCGCAGAGTGGTAAACTTTCTTTAAAAAACCAAAGAAGATGAACGTAAACAAACCTGAGCATCCAAAATGGACCCGCACCAGTTTTTAATGACGGTGGAGATGTTGCTGCACTCTCTGACTGAGCTACAGGTAATACAGATCATTTTGAGCTCTTTCAAAGTTTCTAGTAGAAATGTTGTGTTGCTCACTGACCAGTTTTTTTTAATTCATTCATTCAACCTTTATTTAGACTTTATTTAGACAGGTAAATCTCATGGAGCCTCGAGGACTCATTTACAAGAGAGACTTTATTTTGCTGGTTTTGCTTCCCTGACATGCTAATATTATTAGCATTAGCCAGGTGGAAATACGTGAGGTCAGGTCAGTTTTCCACAATGGGAATAAAATGATCAGATTAGGGCTGGGCGATATCTCCATATTTTTAAAATCTCAATATAATTTTTTTCGCTATATAAATTTACAATTATTTCGATATAAACGATATAGTTCTACTAGAAAATCTGCCTGCTGTCTTCTATCTTCTCCCACATGGCCCCCCTCCTCTCACTCACTCCAAACTCAGCCTCTACCCGTGCGCTGTCCCCCTGCTTCCTGCTTCTCTCCAGGTGGAGCGGCTGCCTGCGGCACGTAGCAGCCACAACAAAAAAAAGGAGAGCGAGCGAGTCACAGAACTGGTGAGCAGGGAAAAAAAATAGTGGCTCTGTTATTTTGAGATGGTTCAGATTGAATTTGTCAGATGTGCAACAGAAAAATGCCGAAAATAAGTCCCGACGAAAATGTTCGAGCACAACGAACCTTTTTCACCGTTTAAAGCGGCACTATAATGAAGTATGAAGCGTGTGTTAAACTTGGTGCTGGAGCTCCGGCTGGGAAGTTTCCTTCCCTGAGACAAACTACAGTACGAAACTCTTTTACCTGTGCTGTGCCTTATGGGAGGTGACGTGAATAAAACAGCATCATCATATCGCTAAAGACGCGATCCGTAGCGGCTAACAAGAAGGCAGTTAGCCGCTACGGACTGTGTCTTTAGTGATAAGATAAGATGCTGTTTTATTAATGTAGTGAACTAGGCCTCCGATCAAAACCTGCCTCTGAAGACCTTCATGGGACAGGAACTGTTATTTCATTGATTTGAATCCAGAAATACAAATTAGCTCATCCAGAGACTTTCTAATTGTATCCTGAACTAATCAATTGAAAGAACACTCTTTTTCATATTATCATTACTATTTTACAATATCTTGATAATCAAAAGTATGTTTAGTTCAAACCATTTTTAAATGTTGAAGTGAACCACTCATTTTAAATCAACTGTGAAACAGTATTAATGATTTTTTAATCCTCATTCAAAGTAGAAATCAAGTTAAATGTCTATGTTACAAAGTAATTATGCATTTTTGATCTTCTGTCTGAAATGAGAAGTAGTGATGTCAGTCGAAAGTCGGAGACAGTCGCAAACAAGTTTATTGGAACGAACTGTCATGTTTTTAAACCTCTCAGACAGAAACAAGAAAACTGGCACCTGTAAGTCTGTCATTTCTCCAAAACATTTCTCTGTCTGTTCCTAAACATCTCCGCTGTTTTTCTGACTTGTAATGACCCTCTGACGTCACTAAAACCACACCCCTGTTGGTTCTTTCAACCAATCAGGACTTCCCAAAATTGACCGGAAGCAGAACTCTTTAAAAGTCGACACTTCCTAGTTCCAGGGAGAACAGAAGTTCCAAAAGTTCAGAACAGAAGTTCCGAAGGAGAACAGAAGTTCCGAACAAGAACAGAAGTTCCGAAAATTCTGAAGTGCTGGAGTTAGTTTGGAGTTCTTCCTAGTCTAGTTGGGATTATGGAATCTTTCACATCTGAGTGGAACCGCTGACGGACTCACAACTCATGTGAGTCCACCCGGGAGGTGAGCGTGTTTGTTGAACGGAGTACCGTCACTACTTCGATTCTCAGCCATCCTAAGGAGACGCTGAAAGGTAGCGTTGAAATGGAACTCCGTACCGGAGCTGACCTATCTTCTGCAAAGGTAACGAGTCGCTTCACTACCGAGTGTACCAGGGCTGAGCTGGGGTCGGATGAAGGGGCCATTCCTTGTCAACACTTTCCCTCATCCATCTTTTCTCTCCATTCAAACTCCTTCATTCCCCATCTTTAAAACTCTTCTATTTTGCCAGTAATTAATCCAGATATCTTCAGAAATGTCTGTTGTTTTTATTAAGTAAAACGTGCCAAGTTTTATTAATCAGAGCCGATAGCATAATCAAGTGTACAATGTTTTGATGTTAAATTTTGATTCTGTTAATAAATGACCACATTCATTTTGATGGGTCAAAGAAAATTAACGTCTCATGTCACTGATTAGACCATCTCCCACACAGTAACTCTCACATATCTGTCAAGTAGCTCGAAAAAGTGAGAACCCGTTATTAAATATTGATTGTAGTAGAGCTCTTAAGCTAATAAATGTGCCTGTTTGACAACTGGGACAAAGCTTTGACTCAGAAATATATTTTTATTATTATTTTATGGAAAGAAAAAAATATTGAGATATATCGTATATCGCCATTTTTCTTAAAATACCGAAATATTAATTTTGATTCATATCGCCCAGCCCTGGATTAGATTAAGTGTTCACATTTACACCGTTCAGATTAGGAATCTGCATAAACCACCCGTCTCATTCGGATTACAAATTCATTCTGTTCGAGCTGAATCAGCTAATAATAATCCAATGGGGCGTTTACATGACGCATTTTTGTTCCAAACGACTGTTTAATCCGATTACTTATGTCCATGTAAACATAGCTAGAGATTAAAAAATATTTTTTGCTTTTGTGTGGATTTTCTTTTGACTGTTTTCACCCACTCAGGCTGGGCACTGATACTGTGCATACACTCTTTAGTGTTTTAAAATGTCATGTGCCTTCCATTATTCAGACTATTGTTGCCATCAACAAGGACCCAGAGGCTCCCATTTTCCAGGTGGCTGACTACGGCCTGGTAGCTGATCTTTTCAAGGTAAGTGTCTGGGATTGATCTTGCAGTGACAGTTGCTAAAATCCCATATGAGACGGTGACAGAGCAGCTCCTGGACCTACTTCATGTTTCGTAAGCTCTCAGCTGAGTGACAGTAAGATTATAACATTTGTTTCTTCACTAATAAATTTTGCACGATGCCTTTTTCCACCTAATGGAAACGTGCAGCTGCTGAATTATTGAGATCTTGAATTAATCTAAGGAGGGTTCTGGCCACAGCTTGCTGCTGAGACTAAGAGAAAATCATTTTAGCATCTCAAGAGGATATAAAAACTGATCCAGGGCGAGATTAAAGCTGGCCTCAGTTTTGCTCTTAGCCTCTACTTGCCAGACCTCTTATACGCTCAGTTGCATTCTTGTGTCAAGTTGGTACTTGGGGATATTGAGCCAGGCGTGTTGGCATGACTAACAGTGGAGTCCAGTGCAGCCTGTGAAAGGCTAGGAGGTTATATTTGCATGCGCATCCTGTTGGTCATATTTTATTTAGCCGCTCAGTGGTGCCTGAGCAGTCCAGGTGTCCTAACAAACTCTGTAGGAGTGATTAGTAATAAGCTGGTGGCGGCAGAGCTGTGACCTGCTGGGTAAGATCATCTTACATGTGATCACTCCTCAGATAACTGATTAAAATGAATGGGCTTTCTACTTTTTCCCACTCGGACAATTGATACCTTGCACTGACACGGGCAGCGGCCGAGGATTCTCGTCAGAAGTAGCTCGAGTCAGCAGCGGAGGCATTTGAATCATTTTGCACGTCACAAAGGACTGAAAGACCCAACCTTTGTTACTGACATGAAGTGGTTTTCAGCACTGAATCTTGAAATGCTTATATTCCTTGACAGCTGACTGTTGAAAATCCTTGTACTCACATGAAAGTACATTAACTCATGTTTGCATACATGAGGCGCAAATCAGACGACTGTAGTTACAAATGCAAGAATGAAATTCTCAGATTTATACTCATCAAATTCTTGAAGTTAACTTAATGAGTGCGTCTTCATTAGTAGTTGGTCCGGTCCTGGTCCGTGTTCCCATTGAATGACCCATGCTGTGACTGGTCTGCAAACAAAATTTCTGTGACACGGTGGTAAAATGCTTCATTATTCTGTTTTCTCTAAAGGCCGTACCTGAGATGACAGAAGCTCTGAGCAAGTGAGATAAAACAAACCATCTCTGCTACATCGCACAGCTGGAACCTGCAGCTGGAACCTGCAGCTGGAATAACTAGGCGAGACCACGGGAAACAGCTGAAGCTGTGTTCAACACCACAAATGGCAGTTTATGTGTACCCTGCAAATATTCAATGACTACGTTGTACTTTGTTTGCTTTCAGTAGTACATGTGATTTCTATTTAATAATCTGGTACAGTAAATACATCTGAGTGCCTGATGTAACTGGGTGAATGTGTACAGTACTTAAGTTTTTAAAAGCAAAACATTAAAATGACTAAACTTTTTAAAATTTGCCATGTTTTCATTTTTTATTGAGTTCATTTTGCAGCGTTGCTCCTCGGTGATCAGAGGCTGTGGACACGTCCAACTGTTTCTAACATGGCGCACATCTGAAAGGGTCATGCTATCATTTTATTTTCAGCAGTAACATTTTTCTGTCATATCTCTCAGGAGCTATTCTTACATTTTTAATACAACTTTTAAACCTTGAGAACATTGATTTTTTTTTTTTTCATCTGAAATCATAAATTTGCAGTCTGCAGTGAAGTTTTTTTTTTTTTTTAATTAATTTAGTCCATGAGGGTTGTGAACAACAGATTCAGTATTTTCCTAACTTTCAGTCATGGCACAGAGAATAATAAAAAATCTTAAACTTTCACCTTTTTTTTTCCAACTGAGACTTAAAATAATAAAAAAAAACCATCAATCAAAATATAAGTTGAAATAAATTCAATGCACCCTGAAGTGGTCCATCACTGAGGACTTTTTGTTGCTGTGATCTGTAATGACTGGTTACAGGCTCGTTTTCTGGTGATGTCATGATAAATTGGGAGAGTTTCCACAATGCCCCTCCCCCCAATATATTTTCTAGAAAACGTCAAGGTATGAAACGCCTGATTTTCTGCATGAGCCATTAGAAAATATCAGGCTTGGCCACATTGCTGGTTTGTTTTAGGAAAAGTATGAAAGTGTTTTTGTGTTAATTCCTGAAAAGTGTCACCTGATGACTCAGTTATTTTATCTTCAGTTTGTCTCTTCATCAGTTTGAGTGATATGAAGAAGATAACCAAAGTAGTCCGACTTCGAACATCACGAGAGGTTAGGTTTGTAATATTTTTGCATCTGAGCTGAGGAGCAGGTCCTGGGATGGTTTCCTGTGGAGGTTTATGTCTCCGACAGGCGGTGGACTGAAGTCTCTACTGGCCCCACCATCCTGTACTTCTCCTCCAGGAGAGGCTCGTTACCCTGCAGATGGATGACTGTTTTTGTGTGGAACCCGATCCTGCTCTCCTGGTTCCTCTTGTTGTAAATGTTGACCTTGCGCTCCAGTTCTGGACTGTTTTTTGTGAAACCTGTTGGGCTGGGAGGCTTGAGGTTGACTGGGTCCAAACCCTTCTGGGCGAGACAAGAGTCCTCTGAGAGTGAGGAGAGGAGCTCCTGCACCACCGTGCTGGGACTCCCTCGTGGCTGAGAGCCCAAAGCCAGCGGGCTGCTGTAAGGTGGAGGGTAGCAGCGCTGGTCGCTGTAGTTCGTGGACGTGGAGGCCTCGCGCACGGTGGAGCTGCAGTCTACGCTGGAGCCGAACGTGTGGCTGCTGATGCTGTGCTGACGGGTGCTGAAGCTGCTGCGGGACACTGTGGTGGCTTCGCTGACCGAGCTGCCGGTGCGCTGCAGACAGCCGGACGCTGCCGCTTCCGCGCTCACCAAGGTGGAGGGAAGCTGGCTGGGGTTGTTGGGCAGATGCACGTCTATGGCTGCTGTGGTGATGACACGGGCCGGGTCAGGGATCCCCATGTCTACAACAAACGGAGAAATCGTTATCCTGCTTACACAGAAGGCTGCAGATGAGGCTGTATGAGGGGTCAGCTGCTCACCGCTGCTCGGCTCACTGTAGTACTGACTGATGTAGTTATTCATGTCATCTTGGCCGTGATGGTCTGAGAAAACAAAGAGGGCGGGGGTGAATTAATTACAGATCACAATGAACTGTTCCAAGTTACAATCACATGCCACCTGTGTTATTTTGTCTAGTGTTAAATTATTATTTTTATATAAGGATGTTTCTGTTCAGTGCCCTGAGATGACTTCTGTTGTGACTTGGTGCTATTTAAATAAACTGGATTGAACTGAATTGTTAGGAAAGTATCTTGTGAACTACTGGTCAGATTTGAACAAAACCTAAAGAAATCGTTGGTGGTACGTCTTCAACTGATTAACCTTAAAGTCAATTTCAAGATGGCCGCTACAGCCAGCTGACAGGAAATTGAGAAAATTGCCTGTAACTTTGATCAAGATTACAAATACTGAGCTGAAATTTGGTGTGATTGAAGCTGAGTCAATCTCAACATGTGGCTACTTTGAGCACTAACATCTCACAAGATCACATGAAACGTTTTATTCCAAGTTTGACTAAACCAACTAACTCCATCTTTTCTCTGGCATGAAAGGCTGCAGGTGATATCTCAAGTACCATATTTTAAGTCTCAGTTCTTTGCATAGACTTGTCAGTCCTGCGACTTATATATGTTCCCCCCCCCCCCCCCCCCCATATTCATCATAATGCAATTTTTGACCGATAGTTTAAATTTCGAAGAACTGCAACAGTAAGTCCTCCCGTGCACGCTCACTTCACTCAACTGGTGCAGGCGGAGGAATGCTGGAGCGATGGATGGATGGCGCAGCGTCGCCCAGGCGAAATGAAGCTGTTCGGGTCTGCAGTGACGCATAATAAATGCGACTTATACGTCGAAGCAACTTATTTATGTTTTTTCCTCTTCATGATGCTTTTTTTTTTACTGGAGCGACTTATACGTCAAAAAATATGAGTAATGCAAAATGTCCAAGATAACGGGAAGCTGTCGCACCAGAACTCCTTTTCAGCATTTCAAAGCACATTTCCACTGAATGATTTGCCTCACACATATGTAAAAACCTACTAAATGGCAAACGTTTAAAAATAATACGCATAATGTCGAAATGTGCCGTCAAGTTCTCAACATGAGCAAAGAAAAATGCTTTCACAGCTCTGTACTTCTGCAGGACAAAAATCAAAGCAAATTCTCTCATTACAAAAGGACACAACACATTAAATAAATCAATAATTATAGTTGTTAGAATATGTTTGATATACTCATTTAATTGACAGTTTATGCATATTACTTGAATCCATTCAGAGGCAAAGTACTAAATCAGATGAAATGCTGCACATTGATTTGAGTTTGGGTTTCAAGTTCATTTTTACGAGCCTCTCCTTGTTGGGTGACAGGGACCATCTACTTGATCAATATCACATAAGTGTATGAGATTCAGGCCCAGTTAAAAAGCAGTCTGTTTACGAACAAGCTGGTCGAGCTGTGATTTATGGCTCTGGTAAAGAAAATGCTCCTGAGTTTCGAGCCCTGACATCACCTGTAAGACGGCGCTCCGTTGCTTCAAGTCGTCTAAGTTATGAGCTGCCACCGTGTGAGAGCTTTATGGGCCGGGCTGTGACTCACCGTGTGAGTGTAAGTGCAGGCGCCAGAATTTTGATGAGGAAGGTAAGACGGATTCTTCTGAGGACACAGACGCCGGTTCACTCTTTGATAAATACTCAACCAAGAAAGTTCTGCTGTGTTCTAAAGATTTTTTACTTTTTGTTGGGAACAAAAAAAAAATGCCTATTGAAAGATGAGCTGATCATAAAAACATAAGCTGGGGTGTTTTAAAGGGTAAAAGAGTAATTTTTTTGGGGGGAGGGGGGATTAGACTTGCTTATATTTAAGAAATTTTAATTTATGGAGCTTAGTTTTAGCTTACAGCCAAATTTGAAAAGTAGCTTATGTTAAGTTTGAATTTGTCCAAATCATATAGTCAACTAAATTCACATTGATTCATATCCCTACCTTCATTTATTTGTTCCAAAGCAACAACTTTTATGCATTTAAAGGGGTTGTTTGAGGTGAAAAAGAGGCATCTGTGAGATTTAGCTATTCTTACAAGACTTATCTGATAGAATATTTTTATCAAAGAAATTATACCAACTTAAATAGTTTATTTTCACCTATTTTGTCACAGTTTTTTTCCATTGCTAAGACGTGTTTTATACTAATCTGTTTTATTAGGTTTATCTCCCTTGACATTTTTTACACCTCCGGTTTTATAAAGTATTTCAAATGCAAAAGAATACATTTTAATCTTGAGTAGGCAGCTTTATACAAACCAGTTAAAAGTTAAATGTGTTTAATGTTTTTTTTATCGTTTTCACATAAAAAATAAAAACCGACCACCCTTTATTGTGCTTTGTTAGCACACTTGGCAGCTCTTTTCAGGAGGAAATGCTACAGGTTTTAGAAAGAGTAGGACTAAATCTGAGCACAAAGAAAATATTGCTTCAAGTGAAAAATAAACTCTTGAATAGAGTTTTTCATGTTCATATTTGACTGGTTTATCACTTCCTTGCATCATTGTATGTGTATGAATATGTAAATGTAGGAATGATTTCTGACTCAAAGCACAACTTGAGCTCTTCCTCTGGCGTCTTCCATGACCTGCAATAAAACCCAGTTGGGTTTAGACCGTTACCTGCCAGACCCTCTCTGACTTTGGCGACTCTGTGATGCTCGGAGGCCCCAGGGGCGAGCCCGTCCACCTCCTGAAAACTGCTGCTCTGTTTTCCCCACATGTGGTGGATCTGCATGGCTGCTTCTCGTTCTGCTACCAGATCCAGATCCTGCTGGGCCAGGTGGGCCCTCAGCTGTCTGATCTCAAACTAAACGCAAAGACAAAAGGAAACGAATGGGGATCAAAAATGTATTTAGCTTCAAAACAGTCCTTTTTAGGCTGAACACACAAAAATGTTTGGCTGTACTAAGACTTTTACAATTTGTACTATCATATAAAAATAAAACAAAACTCTTTGTGGCTGTAGGTTTATTAGTTTGTCTTTCATGGCACTTTTCTGCCCTCTGCTGTTTACACAACTAAAAACAGACATGAGCTAAAATGTTGAAAGGACATACAGCTTGTTCTTGGCAGATCTGGGTAAGACGATCAAGCTGTTCCTCCCTCATCACCTTAGCCTTCTCATACTGCTGGATCTCCAGCTCCATTTTCACCTTCACCTGCAGAACATAGGCTACAAACCGAGACCTGTTCCACTCACATTTCCTCAAAAAGTTACAATTTATCAGAAATATCAGTTCAGATTTTTCCAACTAACAATGTATATAACCAATTGTTTAGTTCAGCTACTGTTGTTAAAAAAAGTACATGAATCTTATTTGAACATTTAGTTAAATACAAGACAACTTGAATTTCTTTACAGACAGAGCAGCTACTAAAATAATTTGTGTCACAAAGCATGTTTTAAGTTAATTTGCTGTGATGGATTTGCATTGGAATTCATTGCATTTCAGAAAATACATGCAATTTGTGTAGAAAATGTTTAAACTTTGCTCAAGCGCACAATAACCTTCCTTTTGAACACATTCTGTAATACACAAAAACACCACATGAGAGCGCAACATCATGTCTTTGGTTTTGAGATCCTCCTGTTCTTGTAGGATCAAATCATTCGGCTTTGTTAGCTTTTTATGAGCACTGCAAGCTTTTATGATAGATGATATTACATCTCGTAAACAAACAAGAACAGCAACAACTTATAATAGAAACCAGAAGTAAAGGGGACATCAGCCCCTCTGGGCTCACCATCAATGATCCTCTTGATCCTCCATAGTCGTAATGTGATGATGAGACCGATTGCATCCCAGGGGCTGCTGGGGCCGTTGGCCACGGTGGAGGCCACCATGGGGGCCAGAGACAGAACTATGACAGCTCCGTCAAAAACCTGATCAAACAAAAAGCATCAAGCAGCTTTAGAGTTACAACACCGACACTGCAGTTCACTTCTTTGGCCTGACAAGTGCTTACCTCTACTTTGTTCTCTATGTAATCCCATATTCCTAACACCACGATCCTGAACACTGTCTGGGTGAAATAGAAACAAATAAGGACAGATTAACAAAAGTTGATTTGTTTCAGCTAGTAGTTGGATAATCAACTTTATTGTTTGACTAAAATGCCTGTTACAACTAAGTCTTACTTGTTTTGTTCATGTTTTTAAGTAAGTTCAGTACAATCACACATGTTATGAGCATAATTTCTGCAGGCATTCAAGGACGGCAAGAACCAGTAAAGCAAGTCTTCAGTCCTTGAACCTTCACTGTCATTTCAATTTGTAAGTGGTAGTAATGGTAAATTTGTCAATTTTGTGCTCATGTTAATCTGTTTATGCAGCATTGACTTTATGCTTATGTTGTTTTGTATAAATCTCTACTATGAACCCAGTGGTGACATTTAAATCATGCCAAACTTTAAGATACAAAACTCTTGACCATCAAACAGCAATTCTGTTTTAGGTGTGACAAGGTGTGTGCAGTATGTAGATGCTGACAGTTCGCTGATGACCAGAGTTCAGGGAACGAGAGGTAACACAGAAATGACACATGCTTCGTTGATAAAATGCTCAAAGAAAAATATTTTTGAGGCAAAGCAACTTCACAGCAGAAAACGGTCAACCTGGGGATGCAACTGCTTCAGTGACTGTGCTGCTTCTATCACTACATTGAAGCAAAAGTGTCACAACATGTGTGTGAGGACCCAAATGTAAGAGAGTGAATCAAGCTCAAAACTTAGTTTAAATAAACTCAGAGGGATGTGCTTAAAGAGGGATTTCCCACTGAGCTGAATGAGGCTTTCTTTGAGCCCGGTTGAATCACCATGGCAACAAAGAGCAAAGCTCATAACTTGAGTTTTGGTTAGTTGTTAGTAAGAATTTTAACTTGTCTACTTATTCTGTTCTTCATGATATTTTAGACAGAATTCAGATTATTACAACAAATATGTCATCATAGTTCTGGTGTTACACGTTTTAAAACAAATGTCAGATCAAATAACATGAAATAAAAAAATCACCATCACAAGTCAGTCAGTGCATTCAAGTATTGATTAATGCTGGCATTTTAATAACCAAATTAATCTCAAACAATTTTTTTCAGAGACACTTTTCTATTTAATCAATCAATTCAGTTCAGTTTATTTATTTAGCACCAAGTCACAACACAAGTCATTTCAGGCCACTGAACAGAAACATCCAAATATATAAAATTAAGTTAATAACATTAATTATCTGAGGTGCAGACTGATTTGAGTTTAACTCCATCACAGACTCTCATCTTGAGCAAGCATGAAGGCGACAGTGGAAAGAAAAAACTCCCTCATCAGGAAGAAACCTTTAGCAGAACCAGGCTCAGAACAAGCGGCCATCTGCTTCGACCGGCTGGAGTTAAGAGGAACAAGAAACAATGGCAGGTCGAGAATCACATGTTAAGATAGAAATAATATCAAATAAAAACTATTTAATTTTAACAATTAATTTAAGGAAATTAGGTCAATTTGTCCTCTAGTAGTCTAAGCCTATAGCAGCATAACAAGCCAATACTAATTATCGGATTTATCAAAAAGGAAAGTCTTAATCCCAGTCTCAAAACTGGACAATGTGTCAGCCTCACAGACAGAAACTGGAAATTGGTTCCACAAGAGCGGAGCCTGATAACTGAAAGATCTTCCTCCCATTCTGCTTTTGGAAACTCTACGGACCACAAATTAACCTGCAGTCTGAGAGTCAAGTGCTCTGTTAGGAAAACAAAATCTTGAATATAAGATGGAGCTAGGTTGTTGAGGACTTTGTAGGTTAGAAGTAAGATTTTGAATTCTATTCTGGTCTTGACAGGGAGTCAATGGAGAGAAGCTAAAACTGGAGAAATATGATCTCTCCCACTAACTCCAGTTAAGACTCTGGCAGCCGCATTTTGAATTAACTGAAGACATTTTAAAAAGTATTTGGACACCCAGATAATAAACCATTGCAATCGTCCAGTCTAGACGTGACAAATGCATGGACCAGTTTTTATGCATCATTTTTAGATAAGATGTTTCTAATTTTAGTGATATTATGCAGATGGAAGAAGGTGGTTATAGTAACATTTTTAATGTGGGAGATGAAAGACATGTCCTGATCAAAAATAACACCAAGATTTTTAACATTAGAGCTGGAGGTCAGATTAATGCCATCCAAGGAGGGAGAAAGACTGAAAAATGTATTCCTAAGATGTTCAGGTCCAAAAACTAAAACCTCAGTCTTTTTTAAATGTCTTTAAGACATGCTTGTAGTCCGAGTAGCTGATTGGATTCATTGGGTTTCATGGAAAAATATAACTGTGTATCATCAGCATAACAATGAAAATGTATCCCATGCTGTTTAATAACTTTACCTAATGGAAGCATACATATAGATAAGGTAAATAGTATGGGTCCAAGCACTGAACCCTGAGGAACTCCATGACTAACTTTTGTGTATGAATCAGTTTATTAAATAGAGCTATAGCCTAAGAATCCTAAGTTATACAAAATCTTTCTACACAAATGTTTGTGACTTTAACCATTGTTGTAGGTACCACCTGTGCTAATCAGAATATCTGAGTTCAGTCATGCTGTGACAGAGGGCATGAGGGCATTTCATAGCTTTGTTAGAGATGCTGTGCGAAATGTGCTGGTGCTCTTCAGTGGCCCCACATAATGCACAAGATAGCATTAATCGTCAGGCCGCTGAATCAGCTGTAAATGAAACTGTTTTTGCGTTGAGCAGGGAAGACTCACCTCGGTGAAGAACACGGAGAGGATAGCCAGGCTGATCCAGTGGATGATGCTGGCAAACTGGAATGCATTATTAACTGAAGGAACAAAACAGAAGGACAACTTATTTTGATGCAACATGGAGAGCTGAAAAACAGATGCTGGGTCTTACTAGTTCTAACAGTGGTCACCAGCTGAGAAACAGGAATAATTAATGTGCACAAGCACAAATATGCATGTGTATACAGTACAGACAAGCTGATGAAGCATCATAAATATTAATCAACACGTACTGTGCATGTATGTTTGCATCTATTCATCAGACTAACTGTGGACAGCATCAAACTGCACCCCAGCTATCAGCTGAGGCATTTGTCTTCACGTGCCACATCTTGCCTCCATCTGTCCTTGTTTGCTGTGTTCAGTGAGTTGTCCATCAGTCTATTTATCTTCCTGCAGCCCTCCCCATTAATTCCAGCAACCAACTCTGCATGATTCCTTTGCTGCCCTCGCTCTTCACACATTTGTCCTACTCATCCATAAAGGTGGTAAATCAGTCACTTTCATGGAAGCAGTAAAGATCTGAAGGTATTTGAAGCAAGACAGCGTGTCAGCCCTCTGACAACAAGCAGGCCATCATAACCTTCACCTCGTGATAGACGAAGAGCTCTCCATTACGCACACTGATGCAAGTAAGTGATTTGAGAGGAAACTTAAAAATTTGACTTCCTGGCTAATTTTTTAGGTGAGCAGAAAATGTGTTGTTGTTGTTTTTTTGCCCCCCAAAAACTAAAGAAGCAGTACACCAATGTTCCCCATCACTGAAGGCATTGAATAATGAATGTTTGTAGTTTTTGAGCATGGTGTTTTTCTGGACTACAACTGAACAGGGAATGTAAGTAAACCTTAATGTTTTTGGTGCAAGATACTCAAGTGGGTAGGATTTACAATGTGTACGGGAAAAAAAGGTTTTATTTTGGCTTAACTGAGGCAGCACAGAGTAAGGGATCGTGGCAGGTGGAGGGAACAATTTTATCCATGACCAAGTGCAATGGTGGATTCAAGGGGTGGCCATTGGTGGTCTTGACCACCAAAGATTAATCTTCAGCCATCCCAATCATTTGAGGAAAGGAAACTATACTATACTTTATATATGTATATATATATATATATATAT